CAGCCAGGGAGGTGACCTACATGGCGCAGAAGACACTGCTTTCCTCAGCAGTGTAGTTCAGTCAGTCTGCCTGTTCTGCTCCCCACTCCATCTCTGGTGAATCTTCTCACCTCCCCCCTCCCCCCCCACACACACACACCCATAAAATAAAATGTTTAAATAATAATAAAATAAAGGAACTGACAAAACTAAACCCTAGAAATACAACAATTGAACTGAGGCTAAGTGGGTGAAGTAGGAACCAATGATCTGTCGAGGGCTATGGGTGGCTGGATGGGGGAGGTGGGGAGGTATCGTACATCTGAGGAGTAAATCACATACAATAATGTAAACCAATGTTACCTCAATAAAAATAATAATAATTAGATATAAAATCGCTAGCTCAGTAAACATGTTTTCCTTTTTAACGCATTTCAGGGAGGAAATGTTCCTACAGGCAGCTTCTCTAAGGAATTCAGGCAACTCTGCGGATCACAGTTCAGACGTAACAAAGAATATACTATTCCCTAGCAATAAGTGGGGTGCTCTGGTAGGGACACCAATCCTTTCTGTTGTAGGAAGCTGAGCTCAGTACCATTCATACGTGTGGCCTAAGTTGCCCGGGGAAGAAAAAAAAAGAACCCAAGAACCCTCCCCTGCCAAGCTACCTCACTTTCACCACAGGGTGCAGCTTAGACATCCGCATTAGCTCATTTTTCATAGTGAGAGATGCCAGACACATATGATTACACCAATTTTACAGACTCAGGGAGACACGAGATGAGGTTGCACAGGAGCGGCACCCAGGTCGAGGTTGATTTCCACGTCACTGTATTTAGCACCTCACCTACCTCTCACTGCAGTTCTAGAATGCAAGTGTTTTCAGAGGTGGGGAGAAGCTTGTGTCGTGGGTGCAAAGTAACTGCTCCATCTCCGAGTCTTAAGCATCGCTCCTCACCCGGGCGCCACTCTTTCCTCCTCTCAACTTGACAGCTCTTCACCCCACCCCTAAGGAACTTCTCCCACATGGCACTCACATACAATGGAATACAAATAGGGACCATGTTAATTTATAGCCAGAGGCTACTGACTTTCGCCTCTTGTTAGTCTTTGGTGCAAGCACTGCTTCCTAAGTGTCTGTATTTGCAGGAGCACTCAGAATAGTGATCAGCAAATATTAGCTGAAGGATATAATATGTGTGCCATGAATGACTACGGAAAATTCTGGAATGCGGCCTTTATTTTGTATTGTTTGGCTCTTGTTTCATAATTCCTAAATAGACTTATAAACCATCCTTGAGGGTGAAAAAGGAAAGCAAAGGAGCTTGACAGCAATGTCAATTAACAAGATTTTCTTCCCATAAATAAGAGGATATAACTACAATCTCATCAAAATGTATAGCATATTATCCATCCCTATGGCTTCTTTACAGCCCAATTATTATAATTAATGTGCCAATGTGACAACCAATAACTATCTTATGGTAAAACCCTAATATCTATTTGACATTTTCATTTAGATGAGGCAGAATCGATAAAAATTTATGTGTTGCTCCAAGTCTAGAATATACATATATAATCCAGAAATTACATATTGTAAATGTAAATAGGAGCCATTCTACCATGTGAATGATTTCTTTCATCTTTTAAGGTCAATTCATACTTATACTCAGATGTACCTAAAACAGTTCTTTCTCATCCATGTTACTGGAGAATTCCTCAAGAATCAGAAGAGAAAGTTAACACAGGAGAGAAGCTGTGTCTTACATAATAGGTGAATCCATTAATTCAGTGTAGAGACCCACATGACCAACAGCTGGTAAAGTGAAGGTTGTACTTTTCAGATAGAGATTTATGCTGAGCATGGAAGACAGTGGTTCCTAAATATCAACCACAGACTCTAATGTGTTTTTCAGTGGTTGACGGCAGAATCAAAATGAATGGAACTATATAAAGACTTTTTACAGTGGTGAATCTATTTGTTATTTTTTTGTACCCTCTTGATAAGAAATTCTTAGTTATTTTCCGGCATGACAGTACCTTTGCCAAAAACCCTTACTTGGCCCAGCTTAGTAACTGTATGTTACACCCCAAAACTCTGATATCACACAACCAGAAGCCTAAGGCACACTGGTGTCCAGCTTCCTGATGATATCAAGCCTTAAGTCCAGGCCGGAAAACCAGCAATGAAGCAGCAACACTGGCGAGCAGCGGTGGCTTTAGGGGAGAGGTGCTGATGACTGGTTATGTCTAGGCTCATTGCTGCAGACCTGGACTGCCAGCCAAGGATAAGAGCACTCAGCAACCAGAGGCAGGGCTCTGTTTAGGAGAAAGAGCTAGTGGGAAATTGACGTGGTAAGTGAGATCCTGGGTATTTAACTTCAAGGAGGTTACAATCCCTTGATAATATGTTGACATCAGGCCAACTTCCAGCACTCTTGGAGGCTTAAGGTCAAGGTAGACCTGTCTTAGCTCTAACACAGACGCAAGACATGCTACACAGGGAAGAGACAGGCCTCAAGTGGAGAGATTCTACTTGCAGTTCTGCCTACACTGAAATATCCACCTTACCACAGCACAATTATGGCACTATTAATAAAACCCACAGTGCTGACATCAAGATTATAAGCCTGTGTGATGCCAAGGATCCCATCAAGAAAGCCAACCACCCTCCCACAAAATGGGAGTGAATGTTAGCAAGTCGCATATCTGGAGAAGTCTTGGTAACTGGAATATTTAATAAACTCTTACAACTCATAAAAAAGACAATTTAGAAATGTACAAAGAGTATGAAAAGTCATCTCTCCAAACGGCAGACCTCTCCTGACCCACCCACTGCTCCCCTCAGCAGTTTACTTCGTCAGTT